TGTGCTCAGGCTGCCGGGGCCGCGCTCGGACCCTCGGGCCTTCCTGTTCTGTCTTGTCCCCCGCACTGCCCGCCGACTGCGGCCTCGAGCACCATCTGGCGGCCGCACAGCCTTACTGCAAGCCCTGCCCGAGAGAGCCGGTCGCCATCTGGTGGCTGCGCTCGGAACTTCGCCCGGCGGGGAGCAGGACTGCGTGCAGGGTGTGGGAGCCTGGGTCAGGGAGGAAAACTTTGATACACTTCTGCCTCGTCACTACCATTTCTGCTGAGACCCTTGGAGCACATGTGGGAGGGTGAGTGGGCTGTAGAAGAATAGTAAGGAGTAAAAAGTGAGAGAAATTAAAGTTCCTGAGAGGAACTGAGAATCAGAGGAGGCCTTTGGGGAGATGACCAAGGGTATCAGGTTGAAGGAGTGAAGGACCGGGTTTGGGGGTACACAAGAGAGGCCAATTGGAGAGCTCTGGGCCGGTCAGGTTGATGGAGCGTTGAGATGTCCTTATTTAGAATCCTGGGTACCAAGGAGACAGGAATGTGAGATCTTGGGGCCCATCAGTCTCTCTAAGTCTCAGTTTCCTTTGTGAAAACGGGGACCACAGTCTTAGTGCAAATGGCACCAGATCCCGCAGCCTGTCACACAGTAGGTGCTCAATAAATGCCAGCTGCTGTTGCGATTATAGGTTGGAGTGATGACATCTTGGGGAGGAAAGAGGTCAGAGGGCAGGTGAGGCCCCTTGCAGGCTGTTCTGCAGGGACACTGTCTAGTTAGCATTGGTTGAACACCTACTGTGTGCCAAACTCTGGGAGAGGTGGGAGAAACTGCCCTGGCTTGTATTAGTGAAGCTGGGTTCGGAGACTATAGGACACACACTACCCAGGAGCAACCCCAGCTTCACAATTTCCTCTTCTGTGAAATCGGTTATTAATAGTCCCATCTGGTAACTCCACAGGCTAGAGGGCCACCGGGGGCTTGCTAGGCGGGACTCAGCGCCAGCAAGGCCCAGAGGCAGGCTTGTTGGGGGAGAGGGGCAGTTAGTGAGAGAGACTTGGCTGAGGCTGAAGACCAGGCTCAGCTGGAGACAAACTCGGAACACTGGGCTAACCATAGCTGTGGGAACCACGCAGGGGCCCAGTTCTGGGGCGTGACTCCAGTTAGACGTAGCCAGAGGTGCTGGTGGCCCACGTGGGGCTCCAGCTCCTCCCAGTTCCCTGTCGCCAGTCAAGCGTCCTGCTCAGAGCCGCTTCCCGTCGATCCTCTGCATCCTGCTTGTTCCTCTGACCTGACTACGCCTCATTCCCCAGGGTCAGGCCTGAGGCTGCTGGTCCCCTTTCCCGGAGCTGAGCACACAGCAGGTGCTAAATAAATGCTCTGGATTGTGTGCTGGCAGTGCCTCAGGCTCCTTGCAGTCTGAGCTGCCAGTCTAGACAGTAAGCCTAGAAGCAGTGGGGGCTTTTATTGAGCCCCGGGCGTCCCTGTGAGGCTGTGGCACTACTCCGTTTTCCAGAGGAGAAACCAAAGCTCAGAGACCACCTCTCCATGCTTGCCCCCCAGGCCCTCTGACCCCACCCAGAGCCGGACACACAGACAAGCGGCTCTGGCTCAGTGGGCCTCAGCTGGAGCCAGCCTCCCTGGCACCACGGCCTGGGTCCCTCCCAGGCCAGCCGGCGAGCAGGCACTGGGCTCAGCTGGGGCTGCAGACCCCATTCTCTCCCGTCTGGGGTCCAGGTGTGGCAGGTCCCCTTTTCTCACAGCAGCGTCTCTCTCTGTGGTCCATATATCCCCGTCAGATTAAAAAACTAATTTGAAAAGATTAATGTATTCCATTCTTGTTACGCTGGCTCTGATACCTCTGGGCCCGCGGCCGCGCTGCCTCCTGATTATTGAATTTTTATGGCCTGGTAATTAATTGCAGATTCCCTGTTTTGTTCTATTTCTTTTTCCCTGACATTTTAATTTCAACAAAAAGCAGTGGTCTCCATGCAGGTTCTCTCTGGAGATCCTAATGGTCTATAAAACAGAATGACTTATAGACGTGGCACCCACTTCAGTTGGCGAGCGATTGTTTGAAACCTTGCTGATCATGCAAAATTTAATTTTTCCACCTCCCTCCCCCATTCACTCCTCATTTCTTGTCTCTTCCATTGCAGCGCCAGCAACTCAGCTCACAACAAGGGCAGCAAAGTGTCGCCTCCAAATCTGTTACAGGGCCTTTTCCTAAAGGCCAGGGGCCCGGAGACAAAGTGGGTTTTGATTTTTTACCTCAGAGGTGGCCCCCAGAGGTGGGGGAGCTGGGCCTCCCCACAGGGCCATGTGGACGCGGGCAGCTGCCCCAGGGAGGAGGGGACCATTTCCACCTTTCTCAGCTGCCCCTTTGCCCAAGTGAGCTCACAGGCTCATGAAGGCAGAGGAAATGGGGTGCTCCCCTTAGGTTCAGAGCAGGAAGTCAGGGGTATGGCCTGGTCAGTTCTCAGCCAAACCAGATCACTGGGAACAGCTGTCCACACAAAGGGGTCTGGAAGAGGCACCTGAATTTCTATCCTAATGCCCCCAACTTTTACTTCTCCCAGCCCTGCTAGCATCACAGAGGCTAGGCCTGGTCCGGGAAGGTCCCCCGGGACTGGGAGGGGCAGGGGCAGCAGAGTAAGGTCAGATCAAGTTGGCCTAAGGGATTGGAGCTCATATTTTCAGGGATGAGGCAGGTAGGAGCGGGGAGGGCGATAGAGAGCAGTGGGGACTGTGGTGCTCCGGAGCTCATGCCCAGCAGAAGGCATGGCAGCCACTTGACTGCAGCCCATGCCGCCACGTGGAAAGATGGGCGCAGGGTGGCCAGAATGTACGATATCTCAGGGAAGGTTGGAAATCTGGCTTTTAATGAGAAATTTTTTAAGCACTGTGTCAGTCGAATTGAATACATCTTTTTTAAAAATATATTTTTATTGAAGGGAGAGAGAGAAACATCAATGTTGAGAGAGGATTATTGATTTGCTGCCTCCTGCACGCCCCCCACTGGGGATCAAGCCCACAACCCGTGCATATGCCCTGGCTGGGAATCAAACCGTGACCTCCTGGTTCATAGGTCGATGCTCAACCACGCTGGCTGGGCTGAATACATCTTTGACGGAACAACTGTTCCCTCCGATTTAGAGCCTCGATCAGAGAAGTCGGGACATGGAAGTGATGTCCGTTAGGCCAGAAGGGTCTCAGTGGCCAGCCCCGCCCGTTCCTGCCCCAGGAATCCTCTTCCTACCTCTGCGCCCGTCGGTCCCTCCTCACACTCAGTGGGCTCCTCCTCAGCTGCTGAGGTGCCTCTGGGTCTCCCTCCAGCGCTTGCCTTCTTTCAGCCTCTTCCCTCCTCAGGGAAGCTGAGGCCTGGAGTCTGAACACATCTGGGTGAAGTCTGCTGCATCCCCCACCCCCATCCGTCCCCTCACCCCCTCGAGGACGGCATCTCTTTGCCTAAGTCTCCAGGACTCTAGGCCGCCGTTTGGAGCTGAGCTGATGCAGGAGGACCGCGAGTCAGGGGCTCCTGGGGCTCCTGAGAGGATTTGGGGCCCACCACCTGCTCCCCCTCCTGTGTGTGAGATGCTGCAGAGCTGGCGCAGGCAGTGCCCAGCCTCTACTGCCTCAGTTTCCTCATCTGGACAGGCCGATGGGCAGGGACAGCACGGGCTCAGGGCTCACATGGACCTGGATGCATACATTGGTCCCACCACTCGCTCTGTGGCTATGTGAGCTCAGCGCTCCTCAGCTAGAAAATGGGGCTGACACTTCCGTGTTAGGGTTCTGTGGCTGGGCAATGAGCTGCCACACACTTGGTGGCTTAACACACCCACTTACTACCTCGTGGTTCTGTGGGTCCCCAGCCTGGCAAGGTGAGGTCTGGCGGCCGGGCCCTCTTCCACGCTCTCGGCTATGGCAGACTCAGGTCCTCACGGGGGCTCCTCCGTGTCCAAGGCCAGCAAAGCACCTGGAACCTTCCTGATGCTTCAGATCGCTCTGCCTTCCCCTCTGCTTTTAAGAGCTCATGTGACTGCATTGGGCCCCCCCACCCCCGAGACAGTCCGGGGTCACCTCCCTATTTGCAGGCGAGCTAGTTAGTAAGTAACCTTAGTTACACCTGCAAAGTCCCCCTTGGCAGTGACATTGGTGGTGGACATCATGAGACGAGGGCAAAATTCTGCCTGCACAACCTCCAACCTCTCAGGATGGTCGTATGGATTAAGATACCTCTCCTGGTTCCTGTGCCCCCCGCCCCCAGAACCACGGGGTTAGATATTTAAATACTAGGACTCCCTGCTGTGGCACCCACAGAATGGGAGGGGAGAGCCTTCCTCCTGGCACCCCTCTCAGAGCTAGCACTGTCTCCATTTTCCAGATGTTTAAACCA